AWWWTTWWTWAWTTWAAWWWTTTTTTACGAATTTTTATSTATCTACATCGATATTTTATCAATATTTCTATCAATATTACCATRAAATTTAGACTTAAACCTCAATATTTGCATGAATATCGACATTTCGAGAATCCCWAAATCYAATTTTGAAGGGCACAGTTATCCAAGGGAATGTTTGGTGGGCCCTCTCTCCTCCCTCCACACACCCATGGCCATGGCCCAACACAAACTCYAACTTTGGTCTCTCTTTAAATGTACCTATAATTAATAGGGCATAGATTTCATGATATTATTCCTCCAATGATGCAACTTCCTTTCACTTCCCTAGCTCGCATTTATACCATGCAATAGCAACATCGTGACCATGAGGCTCAAATATAAACATATCTTTTTCTTAGTACAATAATTATGAGGATAAAAGGAATTGAACCTCCCTTCTTGAATACTTCATCGTTGAACTACGCTCATATTAACRTACGTATATAATTTCAAGTTATGCAAACACAAACATATCAAACATTGACTCAACTCAATGAATCCCGTATCAYATTCTTATATAATTTTGGATTCGGGAGTCAAAAAGTAGGGCCAAAGGGTCACTAAAAAGACAAAAAGAATGGGAAATTTTGGGTTGTTGATGGGATCATGATGCCTTATTCCAAAGCAATGGTGATTATTCCTTGTTGGGATCCTTGCTAGCTAAGGGACTTGACTCTGGGTTTGCCTTTTTTGTTTTATGATGTGTGAATAATTAATTAGTATGAACTATGAAGAGCTTCATTTCATTATATCTAATTTCAGTGGAAATGGAAGAATGATGATCCAGATCAACCATTCCACAGCCAAGAGAGAAGAAAATTAAAAAAGAGAGAGAAAAACTTTTTGATTGACACCCACTCATCATTCCACCTCACTTCTCCTACTTTTCAAGTAAAACAATTTAGATTTAATAAACCCAACTTAACAATCRTAAGATTTAATCAAAACCGTCACAAATCTCACTCCTTTTAATCAAATAATATAATAAATAGACGTAGCTGTAGAGGGTTCATTAAACTAAAACCATGGTTCCTAGCTAATTATAATTAATATCCCACCAAAAAAGGGCTAATTCTCTTTTTATTTTATGTACCAAAAAGAGCAATATCATATGGTTGGTGATGATGAAAACAACTCAATCCTGCTATGGCAGAAGAATAACCAAAATTCATATTCATGAGAAGAAGAAGAAGAAGGAAGCCAATAGCCATTACTATGTATAATATATATAGCTGAGGAGCTAAAATGGAGTCTTTATAAACACATCCGATTCCACACCATTATATTCCAACATGCAAATCTTTTGAAGCTGACCTAAAACCAAAGCTTCAAAACCATCCACATCTATAATAATAAACACCAAGAACAGAAGAAGAAGAAGAAGAAGAAGAAGAAACACAAAAATTAACCCTATTGTTAGTTTTCTCCATCAAACTCCAAACAAAAATCACCCCCATCACCAGATTAATTCAGATTCACCACCACCAAAACAACACCAAGCTCTAAAAAAAGCACACCATTCTGTTCATCCTTCTAAAGTAAAAGTAAATTAAGAGGGGTTGAAATTAGAAGGAATTGAATTTATTACCATGATCCACCTCCCAACATCCCATTCCAAAAACCACCGCCTGATTCCCCTCCTCCATGCTCAAACCCAGCCCCTGCTGCTGCCGCTGCTCCATTGGGTTGCTTCAAATCCTCAATTGGAAACATGGCAGCCGTCTGATCTTGATGTTGATGTTGATGTTGATGATGATGATGATGAAGATTCCCATACCCACTATTTTCAAACCCCTCCAGCGAAAACCCCAGGCCGGCGCTGGGCGCGGCCATGAAAGAACCCAGCAGCAAGCTGTGAGAAGAAGAAGAGGAAGAAGAAGTTGAAGAAGGGAGGATGGCGAGATTGAGATCCTGGGTATGGTGGATTTTAGGGTTTTGATCGGAGCCGTTGATCTTGATCTTGTGATCAGACCTGATTTTGTTCTTGCGTGAGCCGCCGCCCACAGGAACATTTCTGAGGGAGCCGCCGTCGGTCCAGTACCTGCGACAGGCCTTACAGAAATAGCGTGGCTGAGAGAGGCTGTAATTATTGTAGTAACAGAATTTGGTGTTGCTGGAATTGCAGCGTGGACATTTCAGTGCTTCCTCCTTCGCAGGCCGAGCTTTTCTCTCCAACAAATTACCCTTTGAACCTCCTGCTCCTGCTCCTTCCATCTGTCCACAATTCAATACCCATTTCGCCACTTATAAGTACAATTACCCAAATGAAATTAAAAAGGAAACAAAAAAGCAGTTCTCTCTCTGATGGAACTGCAGAGAAGAGAGAGAGAGAAGAGATTTGTGAGTGTAGTACCTGTGGCCAATGGGGCGTATCCATGGATTTAGAGGAAGAGGGAAAAAGGGAAAGTGAAAGCAGAAGAAACCCAAGAAAAAATCGCCCACTTTTCTCTCTTCGATCTCTGAAAAATCAAAATCAAAAGCGGACATATGAAATGAGAGATATCACTCTTATTTGTCGGCCAAACCGCACTTGTCTTCGACACGGAGAGAGAAATAGAAAGAGAGATTTCAGGGTCTTTTCGTCCTTCCCACCCCACCCCTTCTTTTTTTATTCTCATCGACTCTTTTCTTTTTTTCATTAATTTGTACTACATATATTTTATTTTCACTAAGAAGGTGTAAGTCTTATATTTACTTGTACTAAAAAAAATCTTCTTTTAAACTTATTTTTTTCTTTAACTATATCAACGGTSGCATTAGAGATTCGAATCAACAAATTTTTTTATTGTTATATATTTTAACAAATTGAGTTATGGTCAGCTCGATAAACTTATGGTCACCTATTTTTTCTATCCTCCATCTCTATTATTCACAACTCCAATTATTTACCTTCCATTCATGCCTGCATCAACAACTTCTTCCATTTGAAACCTTGTGTTGAAAATTTAGGGTCTAATTAGTAATGTTTGATCGACTAAACATTTTGTAACGAATTATGTTTTTTGTTTTTCATATTTTAGTAACATTATCAAAATTGTCTAGAAATTTTAGAAATAACAAAAATAAATTTTTTGTTTCTTGTTACTGTTTCTAATTTGTTTCAAAACATAAATAAAAATATTATTTTATCATTATTAAATTAAATTGGATGTTGGAGTTAATAATTAAAATCTTTATAATCTAATAGAGCTAATTTTAAGGCAGGCAAAGGCAAAGGCAAATTCTCCTAAAGATTAGTGGGATGGACCCTCAATTCTTAGTGCCTAATAGAGTCAACTCCTATCACTAACTCCATTTTATTTTACTTGGCCATCGTTTTCAAATGCTTTCGACATCTTCTATTCATAAATCCCCCTTCAAAATTTAGTAACTTAAAACCTTTAAAATTCAATAAACTTAATTTTAGTTGTCCATGAATAGTTTGGATAACTGGAGACTTCAAGGAATATCCTCGAGGTCTTGGGTTCAAGCCACAATAAGCACAACTCATAAGCAATGACCTCTTGCGTATGTATGAATATAAAGATAATGCGCATACATGCCGACTCCTGGATAACTAAACTTATAATCTAATACCGATTTTAGATATCTCATTTTAAATCGCCGTATGTTTATTGATCTTAAGTGATAAATGTCACTATCAAAAGTGTAGCTACATTGAATGTTTTTTATTTCCAAAGAGGAATGGGAGGTGGGTGCATTCCTCCATCAAAACCACATAAAAAGAACAAATTTGAATGTGTTGTTGTTCACTAGCTTGGCTTAGGCTATGTTCTAACTTTCCACTTTTGAATGGGACATATTTTTTTTTTTTTTTTAATTTCAATTTCCTTGGTTGGACAAACATAGAGGGAAGTTGGTACAAGGTAGGTCGGTTTTTAATTAAAAAGCTCTTCGCTACGTGCAGTGGCCAATATCATATGCTCACTCTAATTTGGCTTTCTTAATTACTAATTAAAGTTAATTGAGTCAAAAACATCTTTCTTTCTTTTTAACCCTACTTTTCATTTTCCAAAATGCTACTTTTTCTTGCCTTTTCTCATGCAATAATAGCTATGCTTGTCTTCTTTGTCACATATATGTAACAATTTTAATTGGGAGCTTTTTCGCCTTTCTTTTGGTTTGAAAAACATAGAGTAAATTTGCACCTAAGTCCAATTTAAATATATGTGCTAAATCAAAGTGGAAGACAACTGGGTATCGTTGGAATTTCAAAAGAGATGGATCACTTCACTCCAGTGCTATTTTAAAATTAAAAATTCCATCCGTTCATACATGTAATTTTCACACATGTGTATATCACTTTATTTTTAGAGCAAAATTTTGAAATGAAGTGGATGAGGTAGGCAGCATATCTTTCACCAATAAGCAGAGAAAGAGAAAAAAAAGACGAGTAAACCAAAACTCGTCTATGAAAACCACTACTCCCCACTTAATTTCATTATTTCATTTTAATATTTTATTAATCTTGTATTTAAAGAAGTTTACACACGTGTAAAAAATCCACATTAACACATACGGTGGAATGGATTCACTAATTAAGGTTTATGATTTTAATTGATATAATAGGTGCCGTTTTAACAACCTAAAAAATTTAGGGATATATTGATCTTTTCCTCTTTTTTTCTTCTAACGATGATTTAGCATAATTACTAATACGACAACTATAACTCGATTACTTTAATTAAAGTACTCCTGACCATTAAAAAGGTATAGCTTTTCATAATTTGAATATATTTAATTAATATTTTGAAATATACCAGAAGGAAAATTACAAAGCAGACTTTATTAATATTCTGTAGTGTAGAATGTAGACGGAGAGAAAGTACTTTGAGGGACATTAATTAATACTGTGAATGTCGTTTCTGGGCATGTCGGCACAAACGGAATGGATAATGCTTTTCTAATTGAAACTACGCATCTAACTTTCAATTATCAGTTTACTTGAACATAACTCAATAAATTAACATATCTATTTACAATAAAAATATCATGATCTGTGATACAATATCCCCATGTTCCGTACTTAGAGAAAAAATTTWTAGAAAAATCATCAATTATTAAATGTATATTTCAATCCGAATTACCACGGTTTATTTTTTATCACATTAACATCCATTTTTTTATATTAATTTGAGTATAACTTAACTAATTATGACATCTATCTATTATCAAAAAATTGTTAGTTCGAATTTCTATCTCACATGTTATACTAAAAAAAATAAGATAGAATTTCAATAATTGATCACGGTTAGTTCTTATGATTAGTATTACTTTTTGTTATATGAACTTGAAAAAATAATAATTACCGGGGCACGAATTAATTAATTATTCTATTCTCCCTCCACGATAAGTTTTTTTTTTTTTCTTTGTACCATCAATAGAGTGAGATATGGAAAGTTAAATAATAATCTAACAATTTTATATAATAATTTTGAAAATTCCTTAATCTAGAAAAAGTTTCGGTAATGGGGTGAGGTGGAGGCGGTGGAATTTGGAGGAAGGACACGAACTCTGGCAACATGCAACCGGAAAGCGTAACGTGTAATTGACGCGATGTGGAGAATAATTAGAAGGTGGGTCCCACCCTATCAATCACTTCCATCCATCACCCTTCATTCTCACGTGCTTCCCAGTCCCGGCACGTGCACACCACTCTCTACTGGAAGTAGAACTACATTTATTTTGCTTTTATTGCAATCAAAAGGTTTTTAAAATTGATATATTATATATTATATTCAAAATAAATATAAGTAATTGAAGTTATGCTTCAAAATAATATATATATGTGTATATATTTATATTGACATTGATGGGTGAAGCAAGCCCATTGACATTTCCAATTATGGTAGGTTCAACATGGATAAAGGGATTCGACATTTCCATCTTATTAAAAAAATCAATAAAATATGAAAAATATTAACAAAATACCACTAATATATACCTAATATTTTATCTTATTTATAAATAGAAAAATATTTATTTATTAATTTATATATTTTTTACTCTTTTTTAATTTCTTTAATTTTTACAGAAATACCCCTCGACATCTACATTTAATTGATAATTCCATGAAATTGAGACTTTGATATTTTCATCTACATCGGCATTTAAAACTACGAGGTAAAGGAACCATACTAATTTTTTAAAAATATATATTTTTGAGATATTTTTTAAAAATATTAAAAATTAATACTTATTCCTCCCTAGTAAATAAAAGCAAACACAACAACCTTTTAAGGTTAAGAAAATTTTATTGAGTAGCGTGTGTGATCAAAAATTATAAACGACTGAGAACAAAAACATGTTTGTTAAATCCGTATTCTCAGTAATAATCACATACATCAAATATTATAGAACATTTATGTAATGTTATTAAAGAGATTGGTTTGACTACAAATATTATTAATCCTACGCATGTACATAAAATTATATAAGCTATGAACGACCATATTTGATATTGGTACTGAAAAAGAAGAAAAAAGAGTTATTTGTTTAATCGTTACATTGTGGATTTATTAAGATTGAAAATAAAAAAAAAATAATTAAAAAAAGAGATTTTGTTCCTAGTATTATTTCCTTAGAGAAACCAATATTCTCTGTCACTAGCCTATTTGGGAATTCCTCCCTCTAGAGAGAGAGGGGAAAAAGGGCCAAGTATTGTTTTGTAGGCCCATAACAACTTAGGTGGGCCCACCCACTAACATGAGGGCCCAAAAGAATGAAAATAAAATTATTATTAAAAAAGAAAAGGAAAAGGAAAAAAGCTCATGGCTGTCTATTTAAGTATTGAGCTTGAAGCTTCCCACATGAGCCAAGCACTTGTATGGGAGTGTTTTTAATAGGAAAAGCATTTATTAATTAAAACATTTTAATAAAGTTAATTTCACATCTTCCATAGAATCATTCTTCTGCCTAACAACTCATCTTAATCTTAATTTAACAACCAGCCAACCAATACCCTTCAAGCTTAGTGCTATGATGACCCAACTTTGAAAAAACACAACCAAATTCTCCCCTTAATTAATAAACTACATGCTCAAAAGTTGTGATTAAATAATATAAACTTATTTTATAATAATATTTATTATTATTTCTTTTTGTGGGTGTTTTTGGTTTTGAGCATTCAACCAAACTTCATCTACTCTTTTGCTTATTTTTAAATTTAAATATCAATTGTGTTAAAAAGGGAGAGAATTTATTGTGTATGCAATAAAAAGCCATTAAGTGAGGTAGTTAGTTTTGGCTCTTAATTTGAACATGTGAAGTGAATGACACTTTTTAAGGCTAAGTATCCATCAATTTTGAGTGCTTAAAAAAGGAAGATGAGAGAGAAGTTCACATTTGAGCAATTTTAAAAAAGATATGATTTTGTAACATTGTATATATCATGTGAATTTATTTGTAGCCGAAATTGTGGTTAGACTGTAAAGGGATGACATAGACTCTTTTCTAATAACAGGTTCTATTTAATAATACTTTTGATGTTATAAGATGAAAAAGAGTTTGCTGTATATAAATATTGTTGATACACATTTATGGATGAGGTTACACGTCAACTGCTATCCTATGCCTAGCTCTGATATGAGCTTCACTATAACTTGCAGACATAAATTTATATTGGTGTGGTGCTCGACCATGTACATTCTGAAGTTTAAGTTAGTAATAATGTCGAGTCAAGCTTAATTGAAATTCAAGGGGTTGCGTGCTTTTGAGAATGTGAGACTCCACCTTTCTATGTTAAGGGTGTACTGGAAATCGAGATTCTGATGTTGTGGCTATTGTATTTTGTCTTTAACTATTTTTATGTCGATAATTGGAAGATCCTCTGATAATAGGATCGTCCTTTTGGCATATGCGAATGAAAATGTTGGTCAACATCTTCTCTACATTAGAATTGGGTTAAGTTGTGCATGTCTTGTCATGGACCCTTCTTCCTAGTCTTTGGGACGTTCGAGATTAGGCTCAGACACATGTGTCAAAACGGAGAATGCTAGGTGGAGTGCTTACTTTTAGTTCCCATGACAAGTTTAATATTCAATGGTATGTTTTATGAATTTTTAATTGTTGCCTGTCAAAATCTCACCTTAATTTATTTTTTACAAAAATTTCGATGAGAGAAAAATTGACCATCTATGGAAAATGTTGATGAAGCTATGAAGTTTAACTCATAGAATAAAGATTAAATGTGAAAATGAGAAGGTGGGTTTAGAATAATGGAAGTGATCTTAGAATATATGAATTAAGTACCATCTTAAATGGAATCGGTAAACTTTGACCAAAAGAGAGGAAGGAAATCTCCTTTAATCAACTAAACATATTTCTTTTCCCTTCAGTGTTATATGGGTCGGAATTTGAATTCACAATTTTTCGATGGGACTTTATATATATATATAAATTTAGAGCCGTCAAATTAGAAATTTAAATCTTATATATAAACTAAAAATTTAAATGAATTTTTACTAAGCAAACGTCAACATTAGGTTTAAATGATTTAAATAATTTTCAATATTTTTGTTATTTTGTGAATTTCTAATACCAGTTATGATTAAGAAGATCTAATAGATTATTAATTAAAAGAAAAAACAAGAAGGTGACAAATGAAATAATTAAAGTTGAATTTATTTTCCATGGCTTTAAGTTGTTTAATTACAACTTCAAATTTGTCACATGGTCAAATTGGTCTCACAAAAAAAAAAAAATATAAAGTACTCTTCCTTTCTTTCCTCTTTTTAAAAATAATCCTTTTACTAGAAAGTTTTTTCTCAAGCATATTGCATACCTTATAGTTTTTTTTTAACTTAATAGAAAAAAGTCTATGGAAAATCATTCGTTGCGTTGGATTCTTACGGCTTTTTGAAATATTGGAAATGGTATTTCATTAATTATATTATTATTTTCACACATTAAAAATAGTCCAATAAGATATTATCAATTTGTGATGGAAGGTAAATACGAGCATAGTTCAAATATTTAGGTATTATAAATCTCTCCTATAGTTCAATTCAACTTGGATTAGGTTTAGATTGATTAATTGCACTTCACCTAATGATTGGAATGAATTTGAATCGGTGGGAATCATCATCAACATATCCACCGAATCATCTCGTTGTAGCTATATATAAGAGTGAAGCTAGAAATCTCATAAAAAATGGACAAAATTTTACATTTTAACTTTTTCTTCGTCTACATATGCACAAGATATGCACAAGATATTGAAGTGACTGACAAAATTTACATGATGATGATAACTTGAAAGATTTATTGTAAAATATACACGACTAGATGCTAGGCTGATTTGACAACTATTTTAAACTTTAAAATGACAACAAAGAATTTTAATCAAATTTGGTAAAATTAATTGTATACTCATTTAAATAAAATCTGAATTTGTGTTGCTCCTTTAGAAATCTATCATATTTGTTAACAAAACGTTTGAAAAAAATTTATTTTATCCTTCTATATCTGGCCGTTCTCAAATAAGGTGACTGTTTTCGTCATTTTTTTAATACAACATGTGGGGGTGGAGATCGAACTCAGAACCTTTTGGTTGGAGATATATATATCAATTCTCACTTTGGCGTGACTGTTTTCCAACCACAGCAATTTAGTATTAATTTATCAAATACGAGCTTGTTTTTGAAAATTTTTAGAAACAAACCGTTGACAATAATTACTTTTACAGCTGCCACGATAATCCTAAACAAAGCTTTTTTTAATTATCAAATGTCCAGCAAACAAATGGTATGGAAGATCATTCCAAACCTTCTTACAAACTGATATCTTTTAGAAATGGTAAATTATTGATTTGAGTTTCAAAAGCGGATTTGTTGGAATGTATCGGGCCCATTACGGAGCCCATGAAGATGAAAACTGGACTTGTTTGGAGCCCATGAAGGCCCAGGAAATTGAGGCCCACGAGGTGAACGAAACAGAGAGAAGACAGCTGTCAGAGTGATATTGGCGGGGAGTTTTGCCGGGAAAGCGAAAAAGCGCGCGAGATGACCTAATTGGTTCATCAAATACCTCTGAGGCCTTTTAACACCGCGCCCAATTTCCCCATTCTCGCAATCCCAAAATCAATTTCATTTCCCCAATCGAACCGCGAACAATGCTGCGCAAGCGAAGAACGCTGGCTCCAAAACCCACCGCCGGCGCCCGCCATGATTTCCCAGTTGACGACGACGATTACGACGACGTTTCCTGTCAAAAGTGTGGCTCTGGCGACTCTCCGGCTGACCTTCTCCTCTGTGACAAATGCGATGGAGGGTATCACCTGTTCTGTCTTTCCCCCATCCTCGTCTCCGTCCCCAAGGGATCCTGGTTTTGCCCGACTTGCTCCAACCACAAGAAGCTCAAATGTATGGTCTATTTTTCTACTCTTGTTTTTCTTCAGTTCATCTGGATCAGATCTATGTGGTTTTGTTTCGTTTCATTTGTTGGCAATGGCATGCATTGTGGAGTTTGTCAAGTCGCGTTGTGCGTCTCCATCTCAAGATTTAATCCGCGTTTTGTGTTCAAGGTGGAGTGATTAATTTGTTAAACCCATCGGGCGGGAAAAACTTGATTAGTTTATTAGTTTTCTGATTTTTTAGTGTCGCATGTGTAATCCAGTTCTTATTTGTTCTGTGTATTGTTCTGGTGGCTCTGGAATTTTCCTGGCAGTTCCTATTATATTTCTTTCGCTGCCAGTAATGAGCTTAATGACATGCGTGACGAATACATTTGAGATTGACAATAATTTAGGGTCTTATCATCCTAAATCTAACTCAATTTGTTATATTCGTTTTTCAATGGTTCTCACTGTTATTGGTCTCCTGTTTTGCAGCTTTCCCTCTTGTTCAAACCAAAATTGTTGATTTTTTCCGCATCCAACGACCTGCGGACTCTCAAACGGACTTAAGCCTAGGTAGAGAAGTCATACTACTGGAGATTCCAGTTTACCTCCATCGTTTTCATGGTTTGAGGTTCTCTGAAACAGATTTCTAATCATTTTCCTTGTATTATGGTTTTTCAGAGAATCGAAAAAAACGAAGACGGACTGGTAGTTTAGTACTTACCAAAAAGAGAAGGAAACTCTTGCCGTTTAACCCGACTGCAGATCCTGCAAGACGCTTGGAACAAATGGCATCACTGGCAACAGCATTAACGGCTACAGGTACAGATTTCAGCAATGAGCTTACTTATGTGCACGGCATGGCACCAAGGTCAGCTAACTGCGCATCTCTCGAGCACGGAGGAATGCAGGTAAACTGGAAAAACTCAACATCTTTCTCAAGGGAAAAAAGTGAAGTGATTGGTAGTTATCAATCCTGGCTAAATATAATCCTTGCTTAGTGTAAAACATTTTGGGTGTTGTTATTGGAAGTAATGGAGTTTCAAGTTATAGAAACACATAGATCAACTACTACCATCAGATAGCAATCCATCGCAAATGTCTTTAAAATAGTCGAGGACCATTTGCGGAAATAGTTTTCTGCCTAACATTTTAGGGGTTGTAGTTATTCAGTGCCAAAATATATGCATCAGTCACCATGTGTGTTGAGGCTCTTTGTTTGATCTCTTCTGTGATGCTAAAGTCTTTGCGTATCTGTATTCTAGGTTCTTCCAAAAGAGGATGTGGAAACTTTAAACTTGTGCAAAAGTATGATGGAGAGAGGGGAGTGGCCTCCACTTATGGTTGTTTTTGATCCTCGAGAAGGGTATGTGAATCTGCACGTCCTATGTTTCTTTCTTTCTTTTTTATTGCAGCACAGCTCAACTGTATTATACATGGTCACAGGTTTACTGTGGAGGCTGATAGGTTTATAAAGGACTTGACCATAATTACAGAATATACTGGGGATGTTGATTACTTGAGGAACCGTGAACATGACGATGGGGATAGTATGATGACATTATTGTCTGCCACCAACCCATCAAAAAGCCTCGTCATCTGTCCCGACAGACGTAGTAACATTGCCCGTTTCATAAATGGAATCAACAACCATACACCGTAAGCTCATCCCTCGTTTTCTTTGCTTTCTTTTGTACTCTAATATTTGAGAAACCTTACAGAGGACTGGTTTCCTCATTCTATTCTTTTCTTTTCCTTGTTTTTTCTCCCTTTTAATTTGAGGGTGTATCTTCTTTATGCAGGGATGGTAGGAAGAAACAAAACCTAAAGTGCGTGAGGTTCAATGTAAATGGTGAGTGTAGAGTTCTACTGATTGCAAACAGAGATATATCCAAGGGAGAGAGATTATATTATGACTACAATGGATATGAGCACGAATACCCCACTGAGCACTTCGTGTAGCCTTTCCTTTGTGAAATCCACACAATGTCTATAGAATTGTAGACACAAGCTGATTGATGAATGCCTGATTAATAGTTTGGATAGTTCTCTAAGCTCAGAAGTTCAAAAGAGCAATTAAGGAAGGAGGTCAGAAGGATTCCAATTGACTCCAATACTGACCTTTGATAATTTGAGAACTTACATGTTAGCACAGATGTAATTGTCCAAATATGTCAAGTATTTCTTGTTGCAATCAAAAGTCTTCAAAGAGCTTCCAAGTTGTAAATGATACTATATATCAGATATGGATGTCCAGTTTTCTGATCACTTGAATTGCTGCAATTGTTAATAGAACGTACCCTGAGTTGTAAAAACATTTTTCTGGTGAAAGGTCCATCCACATTTTGGGCCAACTGCTGCAGATCTAATTTTTCTAAGGCCTCCCTCCATAATTTGGTTCATTCTGCCTGTCTAGATGTCTTGGGAGCATTATGGGGAACAAGGGCTATTGTCTTGGGCTGGAAACTAAGTCGAATAGCTGCTGATTATTGGCCGGGTTTGCTTAGGTGCATCAGCATTGCCATGAATTGTTGTTCATTTTTATGCAATACAGAAGCAATGAATATAGCAACAAAAGAACTGTTTGGCGAAAAACATTCAAACTCTAGTGTCTAATGGTAATCCACATTGAGATCCTTGATAATGCAGGTCTTCAGGTTCGTTCCCCTTCGAGTTGCAAAGATTGGAAGGAGCAACAAAGCTGAAAAACAAATCCAACCGAAAGGGGGATCCCTTTGGCAGAACCTGAATGATCCCACTGAGTTGAGGATGTGCACATACACACACATTTGCAGGGGAAGGAGAAAAGGGAAACTAGGAAAGCATGAATGGCTGTGATGCAACAAATCTCACAAGATACTTTGTACGAAAGCAGAATGCAGAGGAGGTTTGTACTGTCAAGTCGACACCACTCTTTCCTTTTCCAATCTTATGATTGTCTTCATGCTTAGGACCACTCTAAGTCTATTCTATAGTAGCAGTGAGAAAGAAACCTCTCGGGTGGTCCTAATTTTTTCATTATCTTATTTACTCATAAAAAAAGCATCTCTTTAACAGAAGCAATTCAATACATTACAGTTGCACACACAGCCGTCAGATATGAGAATTGTCCCACATCCCTTTGGTTGCTATGGTGGTCCTTCTGAGGTTGTGGGAAGATAATAATTGTAATAATATTGTTGTTACTTATTAGGTACTCTGATCAGTGGGTTTTGCATTGCAAGGTCCATCCTTTTTTCTTTTGGCTTGGCTTGGCTTGTGTTGTATTGTATTGTATTGTATGTGTGTTTTTCCAGAGATCTTTTCCATCAGAACTCAGATCCCAATGTGGCTTTTTCTTTTGATCTTTTTCTGCCCTGCATTTATTGTGTGATTGCGACTAAAACTGATCTCCTAATTCCGATTTCTTCTTAGATATGTCAACCCATATCAAAAACCCAATCTTTCAAGTTCATCACATTGATGGACCATATCCATGCTCTGGCCTCTAGCTCTAGCTAGATTTGTCATTCACACTCAAAATTGTTACATTATTGTCCAGTCCTCAGGCTCATTATGGTATTACAGAAAACAAGTTCAAAACTTTCAATCTTGGGGTCGTAAACAATTAATATCCATTATCTTTGAGGAGAAAGGGAAAAGGAAAGTGGAAATTATTAATAGTGGTGTTTGATCAGAAATCTGACCAAGTCTTCGAGCTTCAGCTCATCGAGGATGAGCTAGGCGATGAACTTCAGATGTTGTGTGAAGGACCGGCAAAACAAAGTAAAGACTCCGATGCTAAAGTCAGCAAGTGCTCAAGTCAATTCGAGAGAGAATTTGTTTGATTGTGTATCTCGAAGTGAAGCAGAATGAACTTATTTATAGGCGCGAGGCCCGACAGGGTCCCCGACAAGGCTCAATGGCCCTTTAAGTGCCGTGAGACACATGCGCTATCGTGAAGTTTGTTGGACGAAGGGTTGAGTCGAAGCAACCTAGTCTAATATTGGTTCGGATCGGCCTACATGTTGTTCGGCTCGGCATGAGATAACAATGTTGAAGTGAACATTCTCACATAAAAGGACATGTATATGGTCGTTGCTCCAACCATAATATGCCACGTGTAAGTTCAGAATTCACCTCTAAATAGTGGGGTGGGCTGAAGGAAATAAAAGAGAATGCAAACCCAAGCCTCCATTGGCTTCAGAATCAATTATACTAAATACTTCTACTAAACATATCAAAAACTCAAAATTTCCTTCCTAGGGTCCGCTTGAATACGTTCCCGTTTTTTGTTTCTAGTTTTCAATTTTCTTAAGAAATCTAAGCATTTTACAACTAATTTTGTTTCTTATTTATCTTTTTCTGGAAACATTCTCACAATTGTATAGAAATTTTGAAACAACTAAAATAAAATTTTCCTTTCTTGTTTCCCATTTCCAATTTGTTCCAAAACATTAATAAAAGTATTGTTTTATCATACTTGAATTCTCAAACAGAAATAAGAATGTTATCAAACAGGTTTTTAAAGACCATAGCTCTTGTATTCTATTTATGGACTCTTCTCGAGACCCCATTAAGTTGAGTAAGAATTGTTGGTATCCAATCTTTTCCCATTTCATCAACCCCTTGAGGGGAAAAAAAACAATTTAAAGACATCCTTTTTCTAAAAACTCCTCCCATTGTTGAAAATTTCTATTACAAAAAGCCCACCTACTTAATAGCCGACTTTACATGGAAGCAAACAACTTCAATTGTTTTTTTCCTTTGTCCCAGAGAAAGGAAAAAATGTCTCCACCCTAGTAACTAGAGGGTGAGAGACTCACTTTTGTATTAGCTAGTTTATCTGTATATACAAATAAATAGGTCTCTACTAATAATATTATTGAGTCATTCAAAATGCACGATCTAATAAAGTAATTAAGAACTCTACCATGGATCAATAAGGAGAAATTGCAATAAGTAGGTCTTTCCTAGGAGAGTATTGTTTTTTAATCACTCCTTTCAAAACCTATGTTTTCTACCAAACGACTTTTCCTACCCCTCTATTCTCTCCTCTCTCTCCTATCTCTCTCGCTCTCGCTCTAAAAGTGGGTTGGTAACTGGTGATGTTAGCAAGAACTCAGGAAATATTAGTGGAGGGGCAGTGAAGTCATTTGATATCACTATCTAAGTGATGTCAGTAAATACTTAGAAAACATAGGTTTTGAAAAAGGTAGCTAAAAAACAATACTCATTGTGTAGGAAGTCCATTTATCCGAGTTTCCATAAATAAGTAAGTTTTGTTCGGACAACGAATTAAAGAAAAGAAAGAGATCATTTAACCCAAAAGGCAAAAAAGAAAGAAGAGGATGAAACATTGAAACAACTGAGAGTTGAATTTATGGACAGCTAAATGACAATATATGATGATATTATTGTAACGCAAAATGAATTGGTGAATTTGTCAAGCATGGTTTGGTAAAGCAAGAAGGTTGTCAATTAGCTAACAACACAATTTGACATTTTAAACACTCTTTGATCAAAAGAAAACAAAACACATGCCCAACATTTGTGTCTCTTTAACCCCCTCTCTCTTTTGGCTTCATCATTATACTTTACCGACCAAGGGATTTAGTGGAATCCTACTTTATCAAATAACTCTTTTTAAATTAAATTAATCACCCAACAAAATGAGTACATCCAAAAAAAAAAAAAAATTGATTCAAGGCGCGTTCATCAAGTGAAACTCTATCTCGTTAGTAACTTACATCTGTGTTCATGAATATGGTTTATGAATAAATAAATTATTTTAAAGAACATATTAGCATATCTCAARAAATTTAGAAGAAAATATCTCATAGTTAAGAGATCGAGACAAGAGTTAATGGGAAAACAAAAACTTTAAACAGGTCACAGACCCTGAAGAATGCTCCTTCAAGTAAAGGAATGATTATTTCCTAATTTTTTGTCAGAGAAAGATGTCAATTACGGTTGAGCTAACTTTACAAAGACAAACTAGGGCACAAAATGTAATCAATAATTCATTCCTTCTTAGTAATTCATCTGTGAGTACAAAAGATGTGTTTGATAAGAAGAAAGAAAATAAATAAAATTTCTGTAGCTGATGAGATTAACAAATTCATATGAAAAAATAAGTTGGATTATTGTTTCTTTAATAATCCCTTGTCGGCCGTCAATTTGCATAATTATTAAAGGCATTGGGTTTGGGTATCCCAAAAATCTCAAAATTTGTGTTACTTTATATATTATCCATTTGTATGTCAACTGTTAACAGAATTTGGTTCATAATGTTTTATGGCAAAGCAAAGAGAATAGAGATTGCTTTATTTGTTTATATATTCCCCTAAAATATTGCTTCACATTTCTACGCACCCATCAATGAAATTTGATTATAAAGTAACAATTTAGTTTTCTGTCAGGAAAATTTTCATSAAGATAAAGTTTTGATTTTTACTATGCAATTACGATCGAGTCTCTTTGATTTATGAACACATTTGGTCATTATCGATTTATATATGTAAGAAAAATATTATTATACTTAACRTCCCATGATTAAATCATTATAAATTTGAAAGTACATAGATTAAATTGTTATGTACTATAATTTAGAAACTAAATTGTTGTTGTAATACCGAGAAATTTTGTTTTAACAGAAAATTTTTCTTTTTCATGAGTTCTTTTYAAAGAGAACTTAAGTTACTATGGAAAGATGATATCTCTTTCAACATACAAGGTGAATATTAAAAGTCAAAGATAGTTTGATCGGAGATATAATCTAGTCTCTTATAAAAAAGAATGGTATGATATTTAATTTTCAATTGAAATCAAAGTATTCACATACAAGTCTTTTAAAATATGTTTTTTTTTTGTCCTTTGCAAAATAATAATAATAATAATAATAATAAATTTTTTGAATTTATGAATATTATCCATCACATTAATTGCGCAATTAAAAATTTATGAAGTTAAAAAAAAACATTAAAAAGCCTCTCTCTCCCTATGTGCGCGGAAGACATATTTGTTTAAATAAATGTTTTGAGTACAATATGTGGGATGAGGTTCAAACGGACCTTTTGGTCAAAGATTGGTGTCTTAACCATTTAAGCTATGTTCAGTTTGACAATGTTTTCAGTTCCTTTAAACACAATTACATTTTCAATGGATTAGATAATAAGTTCACAAGTATTGTTCCATCGGTTTGATRTACATTACTTATTTTTTTAAAAGATTAGAGATTTGAATCTCTCACCCCTAGTTGAACTGAAAAAAGAAAAAAAAAATATATATATATAACAATACTTACACTATTAGATGTCTAAATAGAGATTTATTAGATATAAAATTGAAKGTTCATAGACTATTAGAAACTTTCTATAATACACTAGATAGATACAACGTAGCACAATATAAAAGAGTTATTATAATTTTTTTCTTTAAATAACTAAATAATTAAATAAAATATATTATTGCTAATTTTAAACCCATATCATGGAAAATGCAAAACCATGTGCTAGTTAGCCATATATACATATGGTTGATTGATTGGGCTTTTGGGGCTAACCAAAAGAATCATAAACCCTAATTATATATATTAAATTGAATTGAATAATAATAATAATAATAAAAGGAATTAAGTGAAGCCACATGGCAATTATATGGTTGGATTCCATTATCATTTATTTTGCCAACACTTTAAACTACAACAATTTCCTTTTTCACCATCATGCCCTTTCTTGTTTAACCCACTTTTTTTTTTTATTTCTTTTCCTACTTTTTGCACATTTTCCTTTTCCTCCTTATATAATATATATCTTTTAAAATAAATAATCATGAAAATTATAATTTATTACCATGATATGACACACCACATCTTGTGAAGGACGATAAAGTGGTCAAGTCGATTTGATACTCTCTTCTTCTTATGCTTTGTCCGGTAATTAACTACTAATTTGAATATAATTCAATTTATTTAGGTACATATCCTCGATTAAAGATCGGAGGTTCGAAAATACTTATTCCCCAGATCTGARTTTATTTTTTCTTAATCAAACCCCACGATGTCACAAGAAGTTACAGTTCATTGATAAAACGATGATATGACATAAAAATAGATTTTATTACTTTAGTTGGAAATACTCTATGTCTATATATTTATTTATAACTCTACCAGATTCTACCATAAAATTAAAARTCTATTCATCTCTTATAAATTCACGCACTATCTTTCTTTCTAACGWTTATTGACAGTAATTTACTAAATTAATCGAGAGGTAATTAACCAATATACATACATAAAAGAAAACTAAACTTTTTACTAGAGAGGTGAAATTAAAAAGTGGCAAAAATATTAGGGACTTTTTTTAAAGAGACAAAAATGTTAAGAATTAAATTGCAATAATCTTAATAATTTCCAAATTTTCATTAAAGAAGAAGTTCTAGAAAAGCTATTTAAAGTGAAGCATATGAATGTGTATATTAAATCAATGAAAAATTGTAAATATATATATATATATATATATATATATTTTTAACACAATGTGTTGGGGTGGGGGATCGAACTCACAACCTCATGGTTGGAAGTATATGCCAATTATCGTTGCTACGTTCGATTTGGCCATTGTAAATATATATCAATGATCTAGATTCCTTAATTAGTGGGCAAAGTAGTAAAGGAAATTAATGTATTATTATAATATAAAGGAGGGGGGTTGAATCTCTTCATGTAATACACAGTGAAAGTGAAAAAAAAGTTTTGTCTCTCTGTTGGGTTTTGAATATGACTTATGCAATTCACCATCAAACATGTGTGCCTCCCCAAGGAAATTACTTATAAACCCATTCATTTTCAATGTATATCAATGGGGTAAATTCTTTTTTCTTTTCTTTTATCCTTTTCTCTCCCTATGAAATTAATCTCTCTTTGTATTTTATCACAAATACGTAGATCTACCATGATATGTCTAGAATCATAAGGTAAACAAGAGTTGTCAATCCAAGTATAGCTCAACGACTGATTAAGGTACTTATCTTCGATCAAAATGTCCTGAATTCGAATTCTCACTCATACACGTTGTATTAAAAAAAAAAGTAAAGAAGAACTTCTACTTGTTGATCATGTGTAGCCGAAATTTGCTGTTTCACTCAATTAATTTTGTCTTAATTAATACTCGTGAATAATAATTATAATATTTGTCCTTTTGATTCACTTTTGTTTCAATTTTGTCAATTGTTATTAATTAGACATGAATATTTGTCTCATAGTAGCCACTTTTGTAGCTAATTTGCACAAGAAAGATGATGACAACATTTTGAAATGATGATCCAAAGGCAAAAGAGAGGGGATTTTAATCAAGTGTTTGTTTGTGGATTGTTAGGTTAATTGGGAACAAGAGTAGGTTTAACTTTTAGACTTTTGGGGAGATTGTATGCCTTTCTAGGGAACACACTAACCCAATGGCTAATCAAATTTTGTACTGCTAAATATTCTTAGTGTGATCATCCAAATTTATTCCCATCATATAATAACTCTATTTTCAATGTGAGGCTATCTTTTTCTTTTTCATTTTTCCTTTTAAATATGTATTTTTAGACCAAAGTATATTATTTATCTTTCAATCATACATTTTCCTTACCATTAATTTTTTTATGTTCTTATTTTCGTGCTCGTTTACACATCATCGTTTGAAAAAAAAAAGAAGGATACAAATATTATCAAAGCTTCGCTCGGGGCATAGTTTTTGAGTAAGTTATCTTATAAAATTTATATATATACATGTTAACAAAAACAATTACAAAAGCTTTTTTCTAAGTCTTGTTAAGACACTAGGAAGTCATCCAACTTAAGATTGAGTCAAGCCAAACACGCTTAACTTTGAAGTTCTTGTGATTGAGTCATCGAAAAGAAAGATACACATTGTTGGTATAAATAATTACTATCAATTGTTTTAAGCATTTTCTTAACCATTCATCTATGGTCTCAGGATCCCATAAATTCCACACCCGAAATTACGACCAATCAATCATGACAGTATCACAAAACTGAAAGTTCCAAGACATTTAGAAACTGTTCTCCTGTTACCAAGAAAACAGCAATATAAAAGAAACTAGAAAAGGAGTTGAAAATGGCATAAAACTTGTTGATTGGCCAAATCATAATGAAGATTAATGTTGAAATTTGAGAATTATTAGGAAATGAAAATGATTGAGGGAAGAGAGGTAAATGGAAATGGATGGGCAGAGAGAGAGATGGATAAGGCCATATCCCACAAAGGGTACAGACAGCTTTGACTTGTCAGTGACTATTTGTTTCGGTATACTCGTAAAAGCCCGAGGGTAATTTCGTCATTGACTTAATTTTAATTTTTTTTAACAATAAAACACAACGGTGAACCGTCAATTTTCTAATCGTTGACCAGTCCTAATCGCCTGGTCATCGTCCACCGCCACTTTTCTATTTTCCCAAACAAAATCAAAATATTACAAATTAAAAATATTTTTTTTCTCCCAAATTTTTGGTTAAATTATACCCCTTCCAAACCAATTTTTTAACACTCATCGATAATAATGACCATTGAAAATGAAATTAAAAAATTTTCAATACAAAAACAAAATTATACAGAAAATCAAACTTTTGTTTTAATTTTTTAATAGACGAAAGTCAAAATTGTTTAGTCAAATTTTAGTTATGAGAGTGGATGAAAGAATTTTAAAATTAGAAGATAGATTTGCTAAATTATTTTTTTTAAAAAAAATGAGAGTTATTTTTAGGAAAAACATAATTAGATCGTTATTTGAATTTTCTTAACCAAATCCAAATGGATACAAAATTGGAATTTTGTGAGGTAAATAAACAAACATTACAATTTTTTTTTTCAATTTTTATAAAAAAATAAGTATACAAAGAAAGCATTAGTCAAACTTGAGTAACATAGAAAAACATATTATTTGGGTGATTTAACTAATGATTATTTTTAAAAAATTTATTGGAATTGGAAGGTCAAAAGTCTTAGGTGTTGACTCAATTTTGGCAACCTACTCCCACTTTGCAAATTTGAGACACACAAAAAATAACCATAATTATTTCCCAAATCCAACAAGATTTTGCAATGCATCCATCCAAATCTTACCCATTAAATGGAAATATTCAACAATTATTTCATTTATATTCATTGTTTTAGTACTTAAATTGGCAKGCAAGAAATAATTTATGCAAATTTAAGATCAAATGTATTTTAAGTCTTTTTCAAGGCAATTAATAGAGTTTATTTGCAAAGAGTATTCGAATGTGGTGGATATAGTTTGAAATAATGAAAAATAAATCAAATGTTTTTATAATTTTGGTTAGAACGATTAAAAAATCTACATGAGTCATAAACTTTATTGTTTGATATGATATTTTTAATGTTTATTTGGACGGAGATACTTTTTATTAGTACAACACGTGGAGGGAGAAAATTAAATAAAAACCGATATTTCTATTATTAATTAAAGTGGAAAAATTGGGATACATTGGGTCGTTATATTTGATAATAGAAAAAAGAAAATGTATTCCACAAATTAATTGAAAAAAGAAGGAAAAAGAAAGTAGGGAGAGAAAAACTTTAATCACGCAGGTTTTTTAGAGAGAGAGAGAGCACAAACATACCAAGTCTTGGAATCTCGTTGCGCGGTCCATCAAACCACAAATATCGAGGAACTAATTTTCATTTCCTGTTTTAACCCTTCTTCCTCTTCTTCTTCTTCCTCTTCTTCTTCTTTTCTTTTTGTTCTTTTTTTTTTTTAAAAAAAAAATTCTTGTTTGTGATGGTTTTGTTATGCATATAATTGCATTTTTTAAATAGTTTGTTGTACTGATTCTCTGCTAGAGAGAGAGAGAGAGAGAGAGAGAGAGAGAGAGAGAGAGTCCAAAAAGAGCTCCAAATTTTCATGGATGCTTCGATCTGCACCCTCCTCAGTTTCAAAGAGATCTCATAGAAACGAACCCATGTAAGGAAGTTTTCAATGTTCCCTAAAAAAACATTCACTGCATTATTTTGTAAATCATTCGTTCATTTCTTTCTTTTTTCCTTCTCCCTTCTCTTCCCATTTTCCTCACGTGTAGCTGTGTTCCTCTGATCTTCGAATTTTGATTAATGGGTATCGGAAGGAGTGTGCTTGAAACTATTCTGGAGACTCATTAATGGCTGCTGAATCTCTCCCTAGTTCAGAATTTCCACATTTCCCCTTCTTTTAGCTTCTCGTTTTGTGAAAATTTTCTTTGTTGTCCGCTGGACCAGGTTCAATGGGTTTGGCTTGGGATCCATGTTGGATGGCATCCCTTTATTTTTGTTTCACTGCAATCATTGTCATTGTTATATAATTTAATAAGGTTTTCTGTTAGACTGATCTGCGTTTTTCCTTTTTGCCTTTCTTTTTTTTTTCTTTTTGGCTTCTTGTGTATTGGGTATTCGTTTTTTTTGGGTTTCTCCCACATTTTCTCCCGCTTATAATGCCGTGTTCTTGAGGCCATTTCATGGGTTGAACTGTGAAGAATAATGGGTAGCTTTAGCGAAGATGAAGAATGCCCATTTTTTGATGCCCAAGAGATTAATGCTCTCTCGATATCTGATGCCAATTGCGATGGCATTGGGGCGACGTTTGATTCTAATCCCAGTTTTTGTAATTGGGTCGAGGGAAGTTTTGTTTATGATGTATGGAATCAAAGCCCCAATTGTGTTCACGAGCGTCGGAGAAAGTTCTTGAAATGGATGGAATTGGGATTGGATCGAACTCCTCTCTGTAATGGTAATTCTCTGACCGTGTGCAGTGATTGGACAGAAGGGGAAGGAGAAAATTTGAGGCACAATTCTGGGGCTGAATCCTCAGATTTTGAGGATGTGTTTTGCTCGGGTAGATCTTCGATGTCGTGTTGGCCTAGTGATGATCTTGAACTTTCAGAGATGGCTTCTACGAGTGGCACTCTGTACGTAGATGATGAGAATAATGGAGAATGTGGTAGGAAAAGTGGGGATCTAAACACGGTCCGGTTGGCAATAGCTGAAGAGCTTGAGGAGACTCCTGTTTCATCCCCATCTTTCCAACAAATGTTGGAGATGGAGGTTGAGAGGGAAAACATTCCGTTTAATACAACACGAAGAGTCAACAAACGTTGGCTTACGAAATTACGATCGGCAGCCTGCATTTTTGATAAGCATGATAAGTCAACAAAATTGGTAGTTGATGATGATTCAAGTGAAGGGTCAAGAGTTCGGAGGGTTAAGGTTCGCCAGTGCAAGAAACAAATGAAGGAACTCTCAGCTCTTTATATGGGACAAGACATCCAGGCACATGAAGGTGCTATTTTGACAATGAAGTTTAGTCCTAATGGGCAGTATCTTGCTACTGGTGGTGAAGATGGGATTGTTAAATTGTGGCAAGTGATTGAAGATGAGAGATCTAATGAATCTGACATCCCTGAAATCGATCCATCTTGCATTTACTTCACAGTGAATCATCTCTCTGAGTTGAAACCTATGCTTGTGGAGAAAGAGAAGATGGTTAACTCAATGACCTTGAGGAAAACATCAGAATCAGCTTGTATAATTTTTCCACCTAAAGTATTCAGGATATTGGAAAGACCTTTGCATGAGTTCCATGGGCATACTGGTGAAATTTTGGATCTCTCTTGGTCAAAAAACAATGTAAGTTCTGCTATGAATTTCCTAGAAACTAAATCATGCTTATGGATTGGTTATCATATTAAAATCTTTATTGTTTTCTCATGCAGTATCTTCTGTCATCATCAGTTGATAAAACCGTTCGACTTTGGCGAGTGGGATCTGATGATTGCCTTAGAGTTTTTTCACATAATAATTACGGTGAGCTTGTAATTTCTTTCTCCTTATGGAGTGACAGACATTATTTACAAATCTTTAATGTGCTGCTCTCACCGTTGCTCTCCTTTTCTCTTCTTTTTTCTGTGTTGGCTGCAGTTACTTGTGTTCATTTTAATCCCATGGATGAAAATTACTTTATCAGTGGTTCAATTGATGGGAAGATTCGCATTTGGGGAATTTCTTCATGTCAAGTTGTTGACTGGACCAGCATTAGGGAAATTGTCACTGCAGTGTCTTATCGTCCCGATGGACAGGTGTGTACTTGTCTGAGTCTTACATTATGTTGAAGTAGAAATGAGGAACTTTGCTTAGATGCTTGGATGTTAATGGTATTTTCAATCTCATCATGTAGGGAGGAATTGTTGGCTCCATCAATGGTACTTGCCGCTTCTTTAAAGTAATAGGTATGTTTCTTATATTCGATTGCTCCCCTTTGCTTATTTTGCGTCCTCGTTTTAGCTCACGATCTATTGTTCTCACTGCTTCTTTATTCACCTGCTGCATCTTTATATATATGATAATGAATGATGTTGAATGTTATGAACTGTATACCCTCTGTGAATTTTACTCACACTCTGCTGCTTATTGGATTATTCTGATCTGATGAACTGATATTTAAGAAAATAAAATCCTTTCACTCTAAAATATTAGTAGAGTCACTTTGGGGAAATCTGATAAAATTGGAACGACATTGTGAAGATTAGCCTGGCTCCTTCAAAAGGATGACATGCACAAATCAAGAAATTGTCCAAAATATTAGTGGTAGATGATGGGAATTTTTGTTGCGCATTTGTGTACCATTGTCTGCAAAAATTGTATGCAAAAATGAATATTCCCACTTGGTCTTTTCTGTCTTTTTGTGTTGCCTTGCTAGGAAGTTGTTATTGCCTTGTGTTGTAATTATTAAGATTTTGCGCAGCAAGTGATTTGCTAGAGGAGAATATTTGTCGTTTAAGACAACGATGTGGTTTTTGCTTTGGTACAATGTTGTTAAGAGTGTATACTAGGTTGCATTTTCTTAAATGGATATTGATGTACAATGAAATCTTATCACTGGAATCAGCGATGAGTATTTATGACATTATGTTGATTTTGAAGAAAGGTTTTCTAAAGGAGTCTTTCGGTTTGTTTTGTTTAGGTGATAATAACCTGCAATTGGATGGCGAAATATGTCTGTCTAGTAAGAAGAAGTCGCCCAGTAAAAAGATAACAGGGCTTCAGGTAGCTCTTTCCACTTATGTTCTTATTCACACTTAGATGTTATTTGTTTTATGTTTCTTTGTCCAGCTCATTCAAGATGCTAAATTTGCCATGCATTCTTATTTTCTCTGGCCGCAGTATTCTGCAGAAGATTCGAGCAGAATAATGGTGAGCTCTGCTGATTCCCGTATCCGAATTATTCAAGGGCTTAATGTGATCCAGAAGTACAAGGGTATGCACCTGTCTGTCCTTGTTTGTTGTTGATCTCTTCTTTATGTAAAGTATCAACAGCATGGTTGATTTCGGTTGGGAGTTTTACTGCATTGTGTATGGTGAGTGTGATGTGATGTGATGTGATTACAGTCAGTTTGATTGGTTGTTTCAACTATGACACTTTTGTTTTAAAACTGAATGGTCTTGTTCGTCGTGTCTAGTCTCTTCCATGTCTTCTCATAAGCAAGTTTTGTCCTTTCTGTTCAGGGCCTTGTAAAACCGGAAACCAGATGTCTGCATTGTTCACCTCGGACGGGAAACATATTGTCTCAGCCAGTGGGGATTCTAACGTGTATCTATGGAACTGCGGTTATAAGAACGAGCCTGTTCTTTCCCAAGTGAAAAAGATCAAGTCTTATGAATATTTCTCCCCCAATGCTTCCATTGCAGTACCATGGTGTGGTTTGAGATGTAACACAGATGGTGAGAGACATTTTTCTGGCATGACTAGGACTTCTTCTGAAACTTTTCCGCTCTCATCACCTGCTTTTTTCTCTTTGAGCCAAGAGTTATTAGAATCCTTCCCCAAGGGATCTGCAACTTGGCCCGAGGAGAAGCTTCCGACTTCCAGCCACCTAACCAAACCATCTACGATGCATAAAACTCGGTATAAGTTTCTGAAATTGTCTTGCCAAAATACGTCGCGTTCTCACGCATGGGGTCTGGTCATCGTGACTGCAGGATGGGATGGACGAATCAGGTCGTTTCACAATTATGGGTTGCCTATACCAGTATAAGACTGCGGAATTTTCCAAAAATACGAAGTGATTTCTTCTTCAGATTTTGATGCCTCGCATTTTTAGTGCCTCCTGGCTGAGTATAAGCTGTGATGCAAATCTGATCTCATTTTACATGATCAACAAATGTTATCACCCACTGCAAATAAACACAATTCTATGTGCTGATGGTTGATACGTTATCGTTTTTGGAGTTTCCTCGAGCATCTCTGTAGATTTTCTGATACTCTAGGGTCGAGTTTATGGAAATGACAATTGATGGAAGAAGCTTCTCTTTAGAGGAAAGGACTTCGAATCAGCTAGTGGCCAAGGTTAGCTTACCTGGATCTTCCTCTTGTCAATCATCATGATCATCCTGTGTAGGAGAGGCAGTTTGATGATAGAAAAAAAATTGTTATGTTGTGATTTTGAGATTGGTGCTGGCCCATAACAAACATGTGAAGTCATTCATGTTATGGGGAAATGATACTGATACGAGACGCTCTCTCGATGATGCAGGTACCTGCGGGGGCGTGGAGGGCCTCTTGCCTTTTTCTGGTATAAACATGGTCAGGGAAATCAAGATTGGTGGTCTGAATTCATTGAAGGAAAATTGGTATATGCCATTACATCTTGTGGGCCATTTTTTGATTGATTTGATTTGATTTTATGACCCCTTCTGCTTCTGCTTCGTATCGACGGGCGACATGAGGATTTGAGTTGTGGGGCAGCAAAGTCAGTCATTTTCATCTGAGGAGACCTTACATTGCAGGCTGGTCTTTGAAATGCAAGAAAGAGAGAAAGAAAGGGAAAAATAAAGTTCTTGTTTTTTGTTTGCTTCTTGCTGCTTGCTTGCTTGCTGTATCAATCACTACACTAACTCAAGTCACCAGCAACCCTTTTGCTAACAGAGATTATAGGTTGTATTATTCTCACTTTATTTCATTCAACATCATCATCTTAGGTCAGATGTTATAAGCCTTAAGCTAAGCTTTTTAGTATCAGGTGAGTTCCATCTGCTGTAAATACAAGCTCTGTGTGCAGGCTTTTTTCTTTTTCTTTTCTCTTGTAAAGCATGTTCTATAGAAGCGATCGATAGAATCGAAAGTTTTAACAGATTGGGAAGATTCGAAGTTTATGAACTCATATCTCTCCTCCCCATCTTGTAATGACAGTGAAGCAACTGTAATACAAACAAATTCATAGAGTTTACCATTTGAAACAACAGCAAAAATTTTAAAAATGGAAATCTATTTGGCTTTAATGTTGATGATTGGATTGTGACTGAAAATGATTTCTTTATTTATATATTCAGATAATTCACATTCACTGTTGCAGGCCTTGACAATTAAGAAACAACTGAATACAAGATGTATAAAAAGAGAAATGGTCTTAGCTTCTCTATGTATGAATGTAATCTAAATATTCTTTGTACATTTTCCATAAGTGAAAATCCCAAGTGGTAATTTGCATTTTTCTTTGCTCCCCTGCTTTGTTCTGCCATTTCTGTTAAAGCTCTCTGCTGTCCAATCCGTGTGGCCATGTTCTTGCACTGAATCAGAAGGTAAAATGATTGGAATCAATTAGCTGTACTGACAAAAAGAAGAAGAGAGGAAAAAAAAAAGGGTTATGCCTTAGAGATCTAAAATCCAAATCCCAAAGAAGCAGACAAAGAAACATGTAACATCTTCCATTCTTCTCTCTCTTTTGGTTTTAAAATTGTAAAGAACAAACTTCCCCCTTGCTGCTGTTTAAATATTGAGATGTTGTTTATTTTCTCCTCTGGCAGTACTTGTTGTCCAACTCATTTTGCTTTGGAGTTTGGAGAGGGAGATCTTTCTCTCTCTCATCAAATATTATATACATCATCCCTATGCCTTGTGTTTTCAGACAACCATGTTGACATAAAATAACATTTTATGAGGTGTTTTGTGTCTGAGATCACAAAATGAATTTGACAGAACAGTACGAATGTTGTCTTTCCAACTGCCTCTAATCATATTTCAGAATATGTTATCCAACTCCAAGACACCACATATCATTAACTGCATTATGACAACAATCATCAAACCAGAAAAAGGCAGAAACATAAACACAAACACAAACAGGTTCAGAAATCTCAACTGCCTGCTTTGAAATTTTAAAAGACAAAATGCCAGAAAGAAAGCTCAGATCTCCATAATTTCAGTATTCCCTTTATCATATCACTACCAAACAGATGCCTGGGGCAGAAATTGGGACTTTTGATTCCATTCAAAGGTTGGCAGTTAGCAACATCATGTTCATCTTTGGTTCCAAATCAATTTGGGTAGCATTCTCACTTGCTTCAAGATTGATGGACAAGAATTAAAAGAATCATGCAATTCCAAGAGAACAGAAACTTCAAGACCACACAGATTCATATGACCCAATTTGAACGATTAATCTCCAAACACCAATCAGAACCAACAAGAATCAGAGGGAACATGACTTGTTTTCCGTTAATTTTTATTTCATCATTCCAATTGTAATCCACAGAAAGATATCAACAAACGAAGAGAATCAATCGAACACAAAATCCTCAATCCCGGCAAGGGAAAGGGATAGAGAAGAAGTAAAAGCAACGCAAAAAAAAAACAAGGAAGCAAAACAATATTCCGATCCCGCCACAAATTTGAAGAAAACCTAATTGGCAGAGGAGCCGAGATCCAGGGAGCGGCGGCGGTCAGACGGGGAGATTGGCGACGTCGTTGACCGGCGGAGGAAGAGGCTCGAAGCTGCGGATGACGACGGAGGAGGAGGTGGAGTTGCAGTACATGAGAGGGCGATCGTGAGCCTCCTCGGGATCTTCGTGGTCGTCGGAGGTGGAGAGATTGATGCAGGAGCAGCGCTCGAGGGAGGCGAAGAAGGCGGAGGCGACGCTGGTTCCGACCCATGTGGCCATGCCGTTGAGCTTCTCGTACGACAAGCAGGTGCTCTGATTCTCCATGGCTATGGCGGATTCGCTCTTCCCGTTGCTTGCCTTTGATTTGGAACTGGAATTGGAATTGGAATTGGTTCTTCTGTGAAAACACGCAGAGAAAAATCAGCAACGACAGAGGAGAGGGGTCAAAGAGGAAGAGATTTGGTTGGGTTAATGCCTTTTTAATTTCTTCATTTGATGTCCCAATTTCCTATTATTAGACTACGATTGACCAATTCAAATTTTCCATCTCAAATAACAAAGTAATCATAATCAATCATCATCCTCAATTTTTTCAGGGAAAAAAAACAAAACGCAAAAAAGCAAAAATGGCTAAGCCAAATATTCCATCCTATTTATTTTGATTGATGTGTTTCTATTACACTTACCCAATCTTTTAACTTAGATTTTAAGTATCTTCTCCATTAAAATTTGACTGTCGAGACGTAAAATTCACTAGTTTAGTGGTAATTGACATATATCTTTAAATTAGAGATTGTGAGTTCAATCTTCATGTAGTAAAAAAAAAAACATAAAATACTCTTATATAACAAAACAAAAGGTGCGTAAATGTGAGTGGATTCCTTTGTTAAATTGAGTACTCTATTTTTAAGGTAAGGTTGATGGGTAGGAATGAACCATTCATTTTGAAGCGGAAATTATGAATTAAAAATTGGGAAAATTACCTTTGGAGAAATTTCAATTTGATGCTCCACATTATCTTCCTTCATATAACTCGAAATAGACAAGATTGATGGTGGGAACCTCGAAAAATGTGGAGAAAATTTTCTCATAGAAAAGTATCAACATTTTAGGAGTTATGGTATCGTGAATCTTTTAATATCTATTTTGATATTATTTTTAGGGGTGTTCAAGTAACCCGACGAACCCAGCCCAACCAGTTGGGTTGGAAAAATCTCAACCCAATCGGATTGGGTCGAGTCTCGGGTTGACCCTTGAAAATCCCGGGTCAACCCGACTCGACTCAAGATTATAAGTTTTATTTTTTTTAATTTATATATTACTAATAATCTAATATTACATATATATATATATATAATGAATTATTAATTATTAATTAAAATCTTATTTTTTATATTCAATCTCATCCATCCATTTCATTAAATCTCAACTATTGATTTTAGGTTTTAATTCAATCCTCTCCATTTTGAATTTTGATTCTCCCCTTTTCTAACATTTTCAATTTCATCTTCCTCTCCCCCATCTCTCCCTGTATAATAAGGTGTAAGTTTTTAATATTATTGAATTAGGGCTTATTGGTTTCAATTTGGATTTGGACTTTAGATAAACTTTGGATAATGTAAAATTTTAAAATTTGTATTAAATTATGACATATATTGGTTTCAATTAGGATTTGAATTTGTGCATTTTGATTTTTCAATATTTTTTTTGGTCCATGTTATAAATAAAACAAAAGTAAATTAATTAATCAATAAAAAAGAACCCAGTAACCCAACCCAAATTTATTGGGTTAGGTTGGATTGGGTTGGCCATCATTTTACAATCCGACCGTTCCCACAAATTTTCAACCCGAAAATTCGGTTTGGTCCCAAAAATATCCCCAACCCGTGAACACCCCTAATTATTTTATCCTCATTCAAATAAATACCTTATTAGTATATATCTCATGTATTAATAAAAATATTTATTTCCTTATAATGTATCAAATTAATGTAGAATCCTTAAATAACATAATATATTTTAATATCTCATGTATTAAAATTTTATATTATTTTGAACTTCTATTCAAATAAATATCTTCTTACTATATCAATATATTTATAAAATATTTATTTTTTCTTTTAATATATCAAATACATTCCTTAAATAAAATAATATTTAAATAAATATTTTATTAGTATATCTCATATATTAATAAAATATAATTGTATTTAAAAGGTATGAAATACATTAATTATTAATTAGGACGTGATGTTTAGCCAAATAAAATCTTTTAACATATCATATATTAAAATTTAGATCATTATTTATATCATTTGAATCTGATTCAAATAAATATTTTATTGGTATATCTTAATAAAATATAATATTTTATTTAATGTATTAAATAGATTCATCGTATGCCTTTTATTATTTAATATATCCAAATACATTAAATAACTAACTATGAACTTGAATATTTCAAATTCAATTTTCTTTCAACACATTTGATCCATTAATGTTGTTGTGAGCTAGCAAGGGAACCTCATAAACCTATCGTTTATAAGCTTCAATGATACAAAATTCATTAATTAATTAATTTGAGGTCATTAACCCAATGTTACTTCACTATAAATCAGGAGTTGAGTTCTCATGCATTGTAGGACAAGTTATGTCCATAGATATAACAAATCAACCCCTTCAATTACAGCTAGGTCAAAGGTCTGTTTTACCCTTGTAATTACAATATGTTTATAATCCAACCATAAACTAAGTCCCTCTCGGACCAGTGAGATGGTGGGCCCCCAAGTTCTGAAATCAGTATTACAACTCATCTACTTACCCTACGAAGGAGTAAATTCTACCTTGTCACATAATTATGTTTCCAACTCTCTATTTGGTCAAGTCCTCAAAATAGTAGGCTTATTGAATTGGCTGCAAAAGGCACTATCACCCATCTAAATCAAAAAACATGCCCTCTCACAGGAGTTCATAAATCACCCAGGATTAAGATCGAGTCACATATGATCATTCTATGGAATATTTATCTTATCTTTTAATAGATTTACAAAGAAAGATTATATATTTCGCAATTTAATCTTATACCTACTCATTGTATAATATGATACTTTCACACATATGTCTCCACATGAATTATTTAAATCAAATCATTTGTAACATTTGCAAAGTGGTTCGTATCACTAGCGTTAATACGATAGGACACCAATCTTATCCATATACTATAGACTATTTAAATTATAACTTGAACATGATCATTTTGTTTGTCAACAGCATATTGTTAAATATTACATTTAAAACGTTGGATTTTCATAAAAATAATAAATATTACCTATAATCAAAATAATTAAATATTTATTAATTATGGGACTTTAAGACGTGAAGCCCAACAATAGCTTCATTCAAGCTATAAATCACCCTTAATTTGAGGTTCTTTTAAATTTTATACAGTCTTTTCTAGCATTTCAAGTGATAAAAGAGTTTGAGTGAGTACTTACATTGAGTACTAACCTCGACTTTCACGCTCTTTGGATTCCTCCACTCCATCTTAATTGAGTGATTAAGAACAAAATTTATTCTAGCTAGCCACGTTCGGAGATAGTGCAAACTTTTGTATTACTTCATCACTCTATGTATCTTGTCTACGAGGGGTCGTTTGTTTTTGGAGAATGTAGATAATCAATATCTTCATATGCTTGGAATGTCTATGGATATAATCACTACATGCAAGTTGACACTTCACGAATTCTTCGAAAATTACAGCTATATCAAAAGTCCATTTTACCTGTGTAATTACATCTTATACCTTAAGTACTACTAATCTTCTAATGAACAATATATTTATCATCCCCCCATAAACTAAGTCCCTCTTGGACTAATGAGATGGTGGGGCCCTACTGTTCAAGTCTTGAAATCAGCACTTAAGTGAGTAACAGGGAATGAGTGAATTTCATCTTGTTTCCAGCTCCCTATTTGGTTAAGTCCCCAAAATAGTAGAATTATTGAATAAGCTGCAAAAGCCACTCTCACCCATGTAAATCAAAGGATATTCTCTCATAGGAGTTTATAAATCGCTTGGGATTAAGATCAAGTCGCATATGATCTTCCTATGAAATATTTGTCTTTATCTTTTTAATGGATTTACAATGAAGTATTAAATATTTCGCAATCTAGTCTGTTATACAAACTCATTGTATATGATATCCCCACTCACATGTCTCGACTTTCACACTCTTTAGATTCCTCCGCTCCATCTTAATTGAGTGATTTACTTAATAAAAGAACAAAATTTATTGTAGTAACATTTTGGAGATAATGCAAACTTTTGTATCACTCCATCACTCTGTGTATTTTTTTTAGTATAATATGTGGGGGTGGGGTCGAACTCACAACCTCTTGATTAAAGATATATATTAATTACTGTTTAACTATGTTCGCTTTGACCTTCGTCACTCTATGTATGATACTTGTCTAAGTGTTATGTATGATACTTGTTTATGAATATTTTAATTACACTTGATATAAGAACGATGGTAACAAATTTAATGCTAGAGTTTTATTACAAATAAATTTTATATTTCTAATAAAATTAAATGAGACCATTAATCTTCAATTTGAAATCATACTGGTTTGATTTGGAATCCATTGAAGAGGTTTGACGCGACCTAAAATAACTGAGAAGGAAACAAAATTAACTTTGTTAGTTCAACATAAAATTTGTTAACAAAAACGACTAAATTGATATATACTTCTACTAATTAATATAAATGTTATATTATTAAAATGGAAAATTATTCTTGATAATGATTAGTTTAAAAGATTAGATACCAACAAAATTTAGGTGCTATCTTCTTCAATCTTTAAAGAAGAATAAATAATTTAATTCTTATTTTAATTTGGATGTTCTTATTTTTTGCCTTTCAGAAGTTTATTTTTTTTTAACGAACTTTGAATCATAATTTGGCGAAATTAAACAGTGCTAATATAATTTGAATATGCAATGCAGTGTCCTAACAATTCAAAATTTAAAAATAAAATAAAGGTAAAAAATAAATTCATAAGATTTAGTGCATTCAAGAAAAAAAAAATCATAAGATTGAAAAACATTACCTTGAATCACAATACAAAAAGAAAAACATTAATTCTCAGCTTAGCATGAGTTTCTTTACAAATGCATGCTATTATTTCTAGACAATGAAGGATCGCTATTATAACAATTTATTTTTCTTCTTGGAATGGATTGATATCTATTGCATTCTTCTAATATATTATTTCCTTTAATTTTCCAATATGCTTAAGAAAAATCATCTTCCATAAATAATATTTAGGTGTGTGAATCCATAAATAATAAATAAATAGATAAAGTGACATATTTGAAATTGTAAAATTAGAGTTTGGACAAAAAATAGTTCAAAAAATATTATAATGGATTATTTAAGGTGCATTTAGTAAACAAGATTGTAATTGTGTTTTCAATTAGTTTGCAAGCAAATTTAGAAATTGAATCTCAATTTAAAAATTATTCAAAATATGCTTATTAATATACTTATAAAGTAATTGGAGTTACCAACTAAAAATTCAATTGAATTTAAAATACTATTAATTAATTTATTAACATCTTTGTTATAAATTTTTATATAATTATTATTTTACACTATTATATAATTTAGAATATATTATCTTTTACTTATTATAATTTTAACAGTACTTTAAGATATCAAATTTATAATTGAACATAAAAATTTTTTTACAAAATTTCCACTAGTTGATTGCATAATCTAAAAACAATTTTCGAAAACAAATATACAAATCGATGAATCCAGATTCTGCATGCCCTTAATTATTTTTCCTGGAATTCGAATGGATAGATCTATTGCATTTTTAAATTCACTTTAAATATTATTTTCTTTAATTTTTCTTCCACGATTTAACCGTTGATAGGAAAATAATTCTTCCATCTTCCTCTAAAAAAAACTTCATCTTCATGCATTTACTTCATAAAATTAAAAACACGTAATTACAGAATAGATAAAAATCAGCCTACTTAATGATAATTTTTTTTAAATATCAATGAAAATAATATTTTTTTAAGTAAAAGATAATTACAAATAACCCCATTATAGGGTTTGAATTGCTTGCCAACATAACTTTAAAATTATGCATCTCCACTAGCCACTATAATTTATTAAACCCATCGTCACCATACATTTGAACAATGGATTAATTAATTAATCCACTTGTTAGGTTCCTTCTCCACAATGACAAGAAAAGACAATCCCCTTTGCTTGGAGAAAAAGGCAAGATCCATTTTGGGAAATATTCTGTACAATAGCCTCACATATCAACCAATTAGTGAATTTCTAAGACTTAGTGTTCGAACTTACGACCTCTCTAAAGAACATAAATGACTAAATGAATACTAAATTGTTTAGAATTAAAGAATCACCTAGAACCAAAATGCTACAAGGTAGGTTACTAGAAGTGTGCTTCAACCTTCATCTAATAAATATATATATACATTTATCTATTTATTTATTTATTTTATGAAAAAGAAATAACACAGAACAAATTCAAAGGCAAAAAGGKSKSTGAGAAGAACAAGCTTGAGCTGCATTACCAAGAACATACCCTCTCCCAATCCCAAAGCAAAGCATCTCAATGTTACTTCTTCAGCAATGGCCAATCCAATCCCACCCCAATTCACTCTTCTCAATCTCACTCTCCCATGGCTTCCCCTTTACCTCCCTCACGCCTTCTTGCTCTCACTTCAACTGCTGCCACTTTGCTTCTTCTTCTCCCCACTCTCATCCAAATCAAAGGTAATTATATATAAATGGCAGACAATTAAAAATATATATATATATGTGCATACTTCAATTATCGTGGTTGGTTTTTTACATTACCTCTGTTCAGGAGCGAAAGGAGGATCCATCGGAGTCAACTACGGCACGGTGGCCGACAATCTTCCTCCGCCGTCTAAGGTTGCACAATTCCTCTCCGATTCCACCATCATCAACCGCGTAAGACTCTTCGATGCCAATCCCGAAATCTTACGAGCGTTCGCTCACACCGGCATCTCATTAACCATCACCGTCCCCAACGATCAGATCCCTCGCTTGGCTAAACCTAATTTTGCAGAAGATTGGATCAAATTCAATGTCCAGCCCTACGTCCCTGCCACGGACATCATCCGCGTTCTAGTCGGAAACGAAGTCTTAGCCACCGCCAACAAATTGCTCATCG